TAATTAGAAAAAATCAACCCTTTTTTTCAGTGTCCAACAACATCCCTCCGGGCGCGCCGTTCGCGGTGAGCACGCTGAGCCCCGCCACCGAGTACCGGCTGCGTGTGACGGCCCACAACGAGGCGGGCTCGACGCAGGCCGAGTACCTGGCCGCCACGCTGGACGCGCACGGCGGCGGCGGCGGCGGCCAGCTGCGGCACGGCCAGGGCCAGGGCCCCGCGCTCGTGGCCACCACCACGGACCAGCGGCCGCACCCGCCCTTCCACCAGGACGTCAAGATGGTGGCGCTGACGGGCGTGTCCGTGGCCGCGCTCGTGCTCAGCTTCCTCGCGCTGCTGCTCTGCCTGCGCAAGAGTGAGTACACTCATCGTCAAAAGTTCCCTTACCGTCAAAAAGTACAGTCACCGTCGAAAGGTACACTCACCGTCGAAAAGTACACTCACCGTCGAAAACTACACTCACTGGCGAGTCGAAAAGTACACTCCCCGTCTAAAGGACACTCCCGTGTACAGTTTTGTAAGTCCTGTTCTTTCCTCAGCCCGGGGCGGCGGCTCGGGCACCTCCCCGGTGAACAGCGCCCTGGGCGGCGTGGTGGGCGGGGGGCAGACGGCCACGCAGGACAACAAGCACAACCTGGCGCGGCGCGAGCAGTACTACGCCACCACCCGGAAGCTGCCCCCCTCGCCCTCGCCGGCCACCCTGGAGTGCATACCAGGTGAGCTCAGGCGGCCGCCGCATCCCGCCGGCCCTCCGTGCTCTTACCCGACGTGGCGCTCGCGTGACCCGCTCGGTCGTGACCCTGGCCTTGGTGACCGCTCCCCTCCAGAGTACGCCGACGACATCCGTCCGTACGCCACCTTCCACGTGCCCGGCAGCGCCGAGTCCACCAAGCTGCAGACCTTCACGTACCGGGAGCGCGGCGGGGAGGTGGCCTCGTCGCCCGTGCGCAGGGTGAGTACCGCGCGTCCGCGTCGACGCCAACGAGAGACCGAGAGAGATTGATTGTAAATTTCAAACGTTACGTAATACCCCCCCCCCCTGCGCTACACACTGGCTTTGGTCGGGCGCTATGGGGCCATACAGAAAGAACCCGTTATGAACCTGTCAAGTTTAGCCTAAGCAAGCTCTCATAGCGCCTGATGGGTAGGCAACATCTTGCCCACGGTGCATGCGTGTACTGCGGGTTGGCCTACCCCGAGTCTCGCAGGCGCTGAGCTCCCGTAGTTTTACCGAATTAATATCTGAGAAAAACGTACGCGCTTTCTGGACGATCCTCACGGGCGCCAGTGCTCATTGGGTTGGACCACCCGTGGTTTCTGACGTGAAGATGTAGAGGTTGAGATTTTCCACTGAAGAACTTGAAAGGAGAAAAAAATAGTAATTTTTAACAATGTC